ACACTGGAATGATTTGATTTGATGAAAGTGGCTAATTTTTCTCGGCACTGTGAAATTGATTGATCCAGTTCTTTTTGAGCCTTTTGTCTAAAATCAACATGTTCCATTTGCCTATGTGAAAAGAGTTGAAATGGTGATTATAAAAAATAAAAATAAGTTTGGAGGAAAACGAACAAGCGAATAACTGAAGTGTGCTAGTTAGTTACCGCACTTCCAAATGAGAGAGTTGTCGAAAATAAGAAAGACATTGAAATAGGTAAGTGTCCGAGAGAGAAAGAGTATAGATAAATGAAATTTACTAAAATGTTCAAAATTTTCAAAATGATGAGGTGTATTCACACCTTCGCCACCCTGAAATATTTCAAGCTATATGACAAGTCTCATTTTGATATCGTCTGACTCATTCTCTATTTTAAGGTTGCAGCTAGGTTAGACACAGCTCTCTGTACGACTAAGACCAATAGTCAGAGACCATGTCTTGATCTGCTCATTCTAAGTCTATACGTAACTTCAACATTTCTCAGTTTTCGGCCTTACCACACATGAGCAATGCTACATAGAATTTTCATACTGAATTCATGTAACTGGGTTATCCACTAAAGACTAAGAATTATTTGAATATGTAATTCTGCATCCGAACACCGCATACCATGTAGAGCTTTGAAGGAATATTTAAGTCTTGTAACAGAAACATTACTTTTCAGTCACTGGAGTTACAGATACCTAAGTGATAGTTTTTGACTTAATGCAACTAGAAAGATGTAATCATCTTGATAAGCGATAATCTGTTTTATACCGTAATCTCCGTTAGGCTGACTTTATATATACACGTACTTTGATTAGTTTCCAGTGTTATTTCACTTAATCTTATTTCCATCACTCAACAAACCCAGATAATGACTTTAAAATTATTTATGTAATTATTTGAGTCCATTACTCAATCAAAACATGGTGTGAAATAACAATTTTATCTAATCTCATTTGAATGTTTCACAATGTTTTAACCAGATAAAGTTGAGTTTGGCTGACAAAAACGTCTACAACTAGTAGAATTATTTCTGGCAATTCTTACAGTGGAGATGGATCAAAAGTTAGGGTTTTTTTCATGTTAAAAAGAGGAAAAAAAATGAGCAGTAGGTTTAAATAGCCAACTTTTTTGCGTACCAAAGTTGTGATGTTAGATTTAAATTCCTACTAAATATTTATCTTCTTACGCACTTTATTGGTGTGGTTCCCTTGGCCCAGTAAACAGCTTGAAGCGACCAGTTCCGAAAACCATTACACACGTTACTTTTTCAATAAACCTCTTGGATTTCCTACACTACATTTTGCTTCCCTCTTCATCATCAATATATCGCTCTAAAAGTACTCCCACTTCAGTAGTTGCTTCAAAAGCTTCAGATAGTCAAGCCTAGTTTTCCTTGAAACATAGATTTAAGATTGATGCTCAAATGAAAGTGTTTTTTACAACTTGAATAGAAAAATGTAAGAGGACTTGTATGAAGGTCATTGAGTTGCTTATTTAACACCTATCTTTTGCAACAACAATAAACATTGAGCATTCTGATAATGGAACTTCGAATAAGGTGGAATACCGAGCAATGAAAGATGGTTCAGCTGAAGCATTAGAAGAAAATAATATCGTTTCAACGTTTTCTGTTGGTTAGATGAGTAGATCAACGTGGAACCTGTTGAATGAGGTTAACTGTGATGTCTGAATAGATAAAAAAAATATGTCATTTTGATTTTCAGCAGTCAAAAATGATTGATCAGCAGAAATTTTGCTTATTTTAAGGATGTCTTGACAGATTTGTTAGTCTCTGGTAACCAAACAGTGATACTTAGCGTTCCATAAGCTAAAAGACAAGTAGTAATCCCTAGAAAATAAATAAGTCACTTGAAAGATGTGTTTGTGCAAGTGTGTGTTGCACTGAAACTGAAACTAGAAAACAGCAGTCAAACGGCATCCTTCATGTTTCTGAAATAGATAGGTATCCGGTGAAAATATTTTTCAGTTACAAGTAGGCCTTCGTACGCTTGATAGCTCTGGGTAAACTTCGGGAAAGTAAAACATAAAACTCTCGAAGTGATCACATGAAACAGAAATAACATCAGAATCCTCCATGCCGTGTCATAGGTGTATCAAGTGAAAATTCATTTAGTTACTCCTGCAAGATAAAGTTAAAGAATTATAGTACAAGCTTTAATCAGACTGAAAGTGAGATTAAACGTTAACAAAGGGAAAATATCTCTAGTAGTCAAATTAGTGCGGTTTGAACGCATCTGAATATAAAATTATGTTACGCAAGTCACAAAAGTATCCGAACACCCTCAGCAACTATACATTCAATTTGAGTAGCCATGTAAACTTTTTCTGTTACACTTTCTGGTGCTGCTTAAACAGGTAAAGGCACCAAATACTTGTTTCCTGTGCTTAATCAGGTAGTAGATAACTCATCAAACTGTTCACTCAAGAGTCATGAAAACATAAGTGAACGTTTTAATTTTGCTTCAAGATGTTAAAACATAGTATTTTTTTATCTTAACAAGGAAGCAACTCATTTGTCACTTACATGACTGAAGGGATGATACAAACTTCTCAAATCACATAAAACGGAATTATTTCGACGAAATTCTCAGAGGCGATTATGTAAACTGAATAAATGACTCGAAGACAGTGAATATGACTGAACCTGTAATATGGATATGAGGTATTTCTTATTCACTCTGAAAAAAATAAGTTAGTGAAGTTGTGCACCTTCACTGATTGAGATGGCTTTGACATATGTGCATGTCAAGCCGTCACTCACCACGACATCCATTATGAGTCAAAGTAAGAACCTGCTGAAGGCTGGGGTGCTGAGACGGAAACGTGGCACCAGTGCAGGAAGTCTCCAACTTTTAGTCCGAGTTATTTATGGGGTTTTTCAATATCTGACTGGCGTGCTCACGTCGAGAGACAACAATGGTTAGCAACTTCTGGTGATACGACATAATGTCGTCTACCCTAATATCACTTTGTTTCTATCCACTTGCTTTTTTGGAATGGTGTTGTGAACTAAACAGAATGGAACTCATGCATTTCTGCACCAGGTTCTAAGTTGATTTGTCTGTTTGACCATAAAAGAATCGTTGTTTGCAGTAATTAGTAAGCAGTGAACAACAGATAAGATGTATAAATAGGAAAACATAGTTTCACTTACTTGGTATGTGAACGCAGATTCTCTTTAGTTAGATATGAGTAATTGTTTGTGACTGTTGTTGGTGGGCCCAATGAGTTTGAATGAAGAAGTGAAGAGTGATTAGATAGAATGGAATCAGAACGACTTCTAATACCATCTACCACTACTGACCTTGAAGAATCACAGTACTTTCTAGAACAATCCAACTGCAATTCATCTTGTTCAGCCTCAGATAAGACGCGATTAATATCTTTCACTGTAAGGAAAACATTGATATATTTATCACTCTATTAACAAACGGAACACAAAAATGAGGGACCTCCGAACCAACCATCTTTAAATAATAACACGCACAATACTTTCCAGGGTCTGGTGAACATAATGTATGGTGCAAAGTAAACATTTTTATTACAGGACTAGAATTTGGGTAATGTGGTAGAGCATAATTATGTGTTGAGCTAGTTCATTTGACAGTGTACACAGTGATACAGTACCGTCTATTGGATAACCTATCTGGGAAATTTTGTTTCTCATAATCATCTCAAGGTAATCACACAACTTTCTAACTCCATTTTTGTAGTCAAACAATTCCTTACTTCTGTATTTCTTGTTGTAGTAGAATTTTAAAGATGTCTTCAAAGTGTGGTGCATCATTTTGTTGCATACAAACCAATTTAATACAGAAAATGTTTTACTATCTTAAGGACGCCACTCAACTCACTATTGTAAAAGCGTTAGTCCTCTTAAATTCAATAAAAATGTCAGTCAAGCTTTCAAATCACTGAAAAAGTCCAAATTAGGCCTTCGCAGTATAGATGATCACTAAGTGTCCACTCAGTTAACGTTATTTACTAGTGACAAACACATTAGAATCTTTAGGAGATACTCTATTCAACAATACGAAATGAAATCAGTTTGAAATATCCAATACTACAATAAGGCCGAAGGTGACTCCTCAATCTCAAGTGATCTAATAGGGGAGTTTGAACAATAAGAAATAAGATGTTTGGTTTTCATTCCGTTCAAATAACTCTACTTGAATCACGAACTACAGGAAAGTCCAAAACTTTGTATGTTTGTAAACATCAAAAATGAAAACATGATATGGGAAGCTGTTTGTTATGAAGTTATCAACCAATCAAGTATTTTCATTGCTCATAAGTGTTACACATTCTCTTTTATCGGTGCTTAAAATAACAGCTTTGTTTTGACGAGGTTTATTTAAAGTTTTTCAGTGCTGTGTAGAGATAGGCAATTTTTGATGTATTTCAGAACTGGTAGACGATATCAGCCATCTTCAATTTGATCCAACTTTTGAAATCATTCGAGGTAGCATTGGGAGTAGTGAGTTGATTTATATCAATTTTCAAACTGGGATTCCACTTTGATTTGTTCCATTTTCTTTATAGGAACATAGAGTTTGAATCTCATTGACACCATTTCATATTGCAGTTTTTACAGATAAACACTGGGAAAGTTATTTCTTCTTTTGTTTAGCGCATTTATCTTTTTATTATCCCTATTCTGTCGCAATGCTATTTCTTCTTGAAATTCTTCACTGAATCGACAAAGGCCTTATCTCTGTTATCATTATTATTATCATTGCTATTGAGCAACTAATACTCTAGTCTTCTCTAGTTTTGAATTGCAACCAGGCTTCTCAGTTGATGCTCATCTACCCTGTTCAAAACGACGTTATTTTCAATATTTCAATATTCTCACCTTTCATCGTTAATCTTAACATTATTATAGCGATAATGAATATTTGTGCGTACTTAGCATCTATGTTTCCTTAGTTGTACACTGCTGTCATAGTATCTAGTTGATTGTCAACTGATTTGTTCAAAATGATGTAATCTGTTGATGTACTTGTAATTCCCCGTTTTTTCATTGGATCGAACTGTTCGACCTCTGTTGGCATAATGTGTAACGCTTTGGCGCTTGAAGAGATGAGCACGAGTTTCCAGTCCCGGTGGGAACAACATCACTCACTGGGGCGCAGATACATCCAGCTGATTGGTCCCAAATAGGACGAAACGCGCGTCCTGGATTCCTCTGCTAGCCACAAACAACTAAATTACCATGACGTAATCTGTCCCTGGTCTTTTTATTCTTCATTGTCAATCTCTTACCCCCATCTAGCCTATTCATAGTTCTATTTGACCAAGTTCAATGAGTTACACTGTGTTGTCGTGCCTCACTCATTGCCTTAGTCTGTATTATATATATAAGTCCTGATGAAACTTGTGATTTCAATAAATCCTGCTTTTTTGACGTTTTTGCACGTTTTGAAATCATTTTGGGAATCAGAGTCTTCTTCTTCTACTTTTTGTTGTCGACTGGTGCTTTCTTTCTTTCTTTTGATACTTCTACCTTTCACTTATATTTCTCGTACCTCACCAATCAACAGTAAGGATGTATGTACTTCTTCATCTTTGAGGAATTTCTCGCTTATTTATTTAAACAGTGGGCTTTTAACCACTGAGTTGCATGTGACAGCCCCGTGCCGCCTACCAAGGTTTGGATAGCCACATTTTATCATTAGCCCTCATACAGTACATGTGGCCTATTTTTAGAAGAACTTACTACTCATAATCACATCAAGGTGATCAAACAACATTCTTATCTAGCCTTTGTGATTCGGCTGTTTTTCATTCTTTGATCTAATTGAAATTCTCCACACCTAATGAATCTGCATTGCATAATTCGGATTATATGTGCTAGATGTTAACCTGATGGACAGAGATTCAATTATCAATTATTCTTTGTTCAAGTAAGTTAGCTTTCAGGACTGTAAATCACTCCCACCCTAACGTGTGGTTGTGTGCTGTCACCTCCATAGCTGTGGATGAATTCTTCTTTAGATTACGCATCTTACTAGGGTCCATTTATCCAGACTTAGCTAGGCTCTAATATTCTGTTAATTTAAATGACCATATTCGGCTAGTGTGACCTATTTAATTAACCTCATAGCCATTTCAAGGCATTCGGTAAATTAAATTAGTCTCTCAGTTAGTTTGTAAGTCTGAATGCCACCAAGGTCAAGTACAAAGGTCATACTAGCTGAATGGGGTCATTCAGACTAACAGAATTTAGGAATCTAGCAAGGTCTAGATTGACAGACTCTAATAAGATGAATAATCTAAAGAAAAATTCACCCATAGCTATAGAGGCAATACCATACAATCACATATTAAGGTAGGAGTGACTCACAGTCCTGAAAGGTAACGTACTTAAGCATATATATATATATATATATATATATATATATATATATATATATATATATCTTATATATATATATATATATATATAGAGAGAGAGAGAGAGAGAGAGAGAGAGAGAGAGAGGACTGAATTTTTGTTCATCAGTTCACCGACTAACACATAATCCAAACAATGCAATTTCGATCCCAGAGGATTTTATTACCAATTAAATCAAAGGATGAGAAACAACCGAATTACAAAAGCTTGCTCAGAAGGTTTTGTGATCACCTTTGTGTGATTATGAGTAATAAATTCTGCTCGAAACACCATCTGTTTAGTGCTACTATATTACTGTTGGCTATCGGATAGTATCTAATATCAAGTAACTAAAGTGTAATCAGAAGAATCAACTGTGAAAACTAATGATTATTGTTTCGTATCAATATATAAGCGTTTAAGTGAACTTAAGATGCAGAAATATTGAAACGTAGACAAGAATAGTCCTCCAGATTTAATATGAAATGAAACACGTGAACTGTATACGATAAACAACTCAAAGATACTTTGCAGTAGTAGTAGAAGCATTCGTAAGTATTATGCTAGAATGTTTCTGGAAAACTTTTCTGTATAGATGTTCAACAACAATTTAGGACGATTCAGTATGTTTATGTACCTAGTAAATAGTAGTTGCAAATACATTGTACACTATACGAATTACACATACACCAGGAAGTATATATTATAATTAATTTTTGAATACTGTTATCTACAAAAGTTGAATTTTTGCCTACAGTATTACCGTACCAAATTCAATATTCATTGCGAATTACTTAGAATAACATTAACCTACCCATTTCAGACCATGTATTTGGAGTGGAAGACTTCTTCAAAGGAATTTGTTTTTCAGTAGTAGTACGCACGTCTTGACTACAAATTGAGTGATAAGTTAAATCATCCACCTTTTCTAATTGTTTCAATTCATGAAGTATATCGTCTACAGTTGATCTATTGTTAACCTCATTGACATTTATTCGTCGATCACTTTCGTCTCTGTGTTTTTTCTACCTGTAGTTTGGCACTGTCGATCAAATTATCACTATAATTTCCAACGGAAGCTGACTCATCCGTAGTGCATTTATTTTGCTGTGGATTCTAAGACAAGGTTACGAACAAACAAAGTGTGAATGAAACACTTCAGGTGAATAGGCACTGTAAATACTGGTCAGCTACAATATTTATATGTGCAGAATTCTATAGTATAGTTAAGGCCTCTTCATTAAATACAGTTCACTGGTTTAGCCTAAGTGGAACAACAGTCCTCCTCATCGTCCAGACCTAGACTGATTGTAAAGCAGAGTTTTCTTCCAGAAGCAATCTTAAAATCGTCTTCATACTGGTCACTGTCAGGCGAGTAAGTGTTCATTAGTGCCAAATATATCAAATGGTATGATTTTACACACAAGTTTGTAGTAAATTGCTGCAGCATAACAGAGTATGCGCAATTATGTGTATCTAGAGTGACGTTCAGATTATAGGTTTTATTTGATTATCTTCAAACTTGTGAAAACGTGAAGATAAATTAGTGTGATACTGGGATTTCAGATGCGTATGAGGTTACGACAACAATAAAAAAATCTACATTTTTTAGAAGATAATGTATAGTACCAAATTGAACGGAAAAAGGATTAAAATGTGATGGAAAACCTTCACAGCTACTTTTAATTCCAGATAAATTAATACGTAAAGGGTAAACATGGAAAAATAAAGTTATCTAATGAGTAACGCTCTGACATTTGAAGTCATGGATCCTGAGTTCCAGTTTCACTCACTTGAAAGTAGGTACATCCAGCCAATCACTGTGACCTTTTTAACCTATAATAATTGCTCTATTCCAAACAATATACTTGATACAGTATGGAATTCTCAACATGCAATAAACTAACAAATGTACTCCCAAAACAATATTTTCAAAGAAAATTATTATGGCGTCTGAATGATGTTCATAATAGCATGGAAGGTAATAATGTGAAGCAGTCGGTTGGTGCTGGATTAGTATCCACTGTTTAGTGGTGGTAGTTCATTCAGACAATAGAAGAATGTGGTATTCCAGAAAGGTAGCCGAAGAATAGTATTATGATGTATTTTTGTTCATTCAAAAGTTCATTTCCGTCTAATATGACATTTTTCCTTCATTTTGTTATCACTTCGAAAAACGACTAGTTCAGAACATTTTGAAGTATATATTTGACAGATTAAAACAAATTGAAACGAAAGAATTTTGTATAATATGCTTGTTGGAAGATTTCATTGGTAAAGTCCAAGCAGGACTAGACTTGGGTCCTGAATTCCCCTGCTAGCCACTGTTCATCATTAGTATTAAGATACACGATGACAAAATACATTCAAAACTTCTTTATTGACTTCAAAAGAGTTGAAGATATCATATCATCCTATTTCCGTCGTGTCTTGTGTAAGAGGACTTGTGTCGCATCCGACTACTGAAATAAAAGCCTTTTGTTGGTCAATCTTTTATTATCAGGTAGACTTTTGTCGGTCATATTACGCAACAAAGTTATAAATTAATCATATTTTAATGCAGACAGGATTGTGTATGATTGTAGAAATGTTTAAGGGTTAAGTGGAGGGTGAACTGAAAGACCTATGAAGTGACCTTTTACAAAAATTGATATGTCAGCATTTTTTTACATCAGATGTAGAAGCTTGGATGATAATTTGTGCATCTCAAAAACTGTTTCTGTTTCTTCGGGATGGGATGGAACATGTACTCTTTTCTAAAATATTGATTTCACTTCTACTGTTGGCTTCTTGTTGAAGCTCAAAGCAATTTAGTTATCTACCAGGATATAGGTAGTGAGTTGGTCATTGCGACTCACATCAACTCATGGAGAAATATCAATTATCCCATATCTAACAAAGCGAAATTATGTAAAAGTACACCACAGACAATAGCATATGTTATCCCAGTGCCATTTAAATCTAAGCTACGTTAGTAACTTTCATTTAATCTCATTCCTTAAAATTTAAGTATGGTGTTATTGTAGTATCCACCAAAGAACACAAATGCAATGTATTTAGGAAAAGAGTAGTCAAGGTTTCACTTACTTATGAACAATCACTTAATATAGGAGACGAAGAGTAGTCCAGCGAAAAGCTTCGTCTCAATGAGTTCATTCTCAAAGCTGTTCGAGTGAAAATGTTGAATTTTGTACAATAATTTGTTTTGTTTCACTTAGACGATATGATAACGGACAGGGTAAGTTGTGACTAGTTAGTGGTGATACATAGGGGTTGAAAAGTGACTACTTTTGACAGCGAATTGTGCAACATGATAAACTACTATAGACATGAAGTATTGTCAAAAAGCATAAAAAAATAAGAGTTGATACTTCTTAAGAAATGCACAAAATGGTAGATCACCAGATAATTCCTATGGCTTTTTATGCTTTCCACTAATATCTTACCAGCTGCATTTCAGATCCTAATGATAATAAAATTTCACTGTCATTTCAACTACTGAGTTAATTATACAGTTTATAGACATAAAATAACGCCTACTCTGTAGGTTTCTCTAAATGAAGTTACTTTTCAGTTTGTCTATCGTATTCTTGAATGAAATCTCTCAGTTATATAATTAAGGCACATTGCCATCATTGACACTTTACTTTGACATGGTTTAAAGTTGTTGAACATTGTTGGCCTACACAATGTTTAGACAAAACTTTAATTGGGACAAAATTCGAAAAACTTATCTAAAAATCACCAATTTAGTTTTCATTGTATAGGATGTATTTTTACTTGTGTAATCCAGGCATAGTATATTAGAACAAATAACAAAATAAACAAATATTTTGTATTGTTCCTCAACGTTTCGATCTTGCTAGGAAGATCCTTTTCAAGAGTATGAATCTGACACTAAGTTTTCAGGTTAATATTCAAGATAACTTCAAATTTAGTTTTCTATAAAATGAGTTATACTTATATATAAAAGATGAATTCTTTATACTTTGAATCTATGAAAAGCATGAAATACGGTTAAACTATACAAATGATGAAGAATAAATAGTGATCCTAGGTAGTTACCGAGATATTATGGTTGTAAGGCTAATCAATTTTACTCCGTTCTAAACGTCTCAATGGTATGAGTGGTTTTTACATACTACACAATCAATAGAAGGAGATTTGTACAAACTTCATAGTTAATTCTCAACAATTACCAACTCACTTCAGAAAAACTATCACTGGGATTCCAAGACTTGTTTTGGTTCAGTTTTATAGGAGAAGTTGGTTTTTTCAAAATATTTGATTCATTTATATCCTTGCACTCCTCCTGCTTATCCGTTAAGGTGTCAGATTTGATCATAGTGTTGACACTTTGTTCGTCTTTTATACTATCTCGCCTCTTTAAGCCATTTATGGATCGATTTTCATGCAAAACCTAGAGAAGAATAGTGAGAAGTATGTACTGATAAAACATGTTTCAAGCATATTAGTGTGTATATTAGTAATACCCTGCAAAATCCATTTTCAGCAATAACCTACGGGTGCTTGCTTCAAATTCTGTATAACGTTTAGGTTAGTATGATGGTTTCACAGCGCAAAACAATGCAATCAAAGATTCACAATCAATATGTTGTAAAGTGAGTTAACGACCTCCCCACTGTACTATTCAGGACCAGCAAAATGTTGCAGATTTTTCGACATATATCAATGTGATGATACCTGTAAACTGGCTTCTGTCATGTTAATTACTAATGTGCGAATAAAATATTTATTTATTTAATAGTAGGAACGTTGATAAGTGAGTCAAATAGATGAACCACTACCCGGAATAATCAAGTCAATTTATTATTTTACAATAAAAACTATCGCAGAATGTTAATTCTTTTGAGGGTTGGAGCTTAAACACTTAACGCATAACGCAGTGTTTCGCATTTTTAATAGGTGAATAAGTAAACAGTAAGTTTAAGGTAGATTCATTCAAAAAAGTAATCATTATAATGACTCGAAAATTTCTGCAAATAACAATATGTATTTTTGGAGAAAAACTGAGTTTCTAATGAAAGCGGTCAAAGCTGACTGATCATTCAGCTGAAAATAGCATCGCTTATTACACTGCAGTAGGCTTTGTCGTCACTCGCCGTACATAACGAAATAAGCATTTGAAAACGAACATTCTCAGCCCAGAAATGTAAGTGTCTTCTTATTTTGATAAATATCTTTCTGTTCTTAATTATATATAAGACGACTTTTCAACAAAGTAGGAAGAAAATTTACAGTCTCATCAAATACCGTCCTTTAACTTCTCTCCCAAAAGACTGAAAAATAAAACGGGCAAAAAACCTAGAAGTTCTGACAAATAATAAGGTTTCTTGGTCTTTTATATATGTACACGTTTCTGTTGATATCCAATGCATACTTTTTCCAGTAACTTGCGGTGTAATGTTAAGCTTGGGTTATAACTGTGCAAAGATTTAACATGAAGTATTTCATACTTGAAAATATGTAAATATTCAGCTTAAAGGTTTATGCGGATTTATTTGTTGGTTCTAAATTGATCACCACAATGAAGTGATATCATTTAGAGAAGCATTGCAAACCTCAGAGTACTGGACAACTATTTCGCCCTGGAATGGGCTGGTCACTCGTGCGCACCCGTGCCCCCGACATCGGTCCAACACATGGCCTCCACTAGGTCAGTGGCAACGTGCTAATCATGAAACCTGGAGGCTATGGGTTCGATTGTTGGTGGGGCCGTGGGTTCGCACCGCTGAGGAGCCCCATTCCAAGATGAAACGACTGTCCAGTGCTCCCAGGTTTTCAGTAATTCTCCAAATGATATCAGTCTGTGATAGATACCAATTTGAAATATAAATATCGCCCAATGAATAACGATAAAAATGCAGTTGATTAAAACGCAGTATAATCATAATGACTTCTTAACACTTAGTACACCATGATCATAAATCGTCATCAACACAAAAACTTTTAATAAAGAAGTATTCTTCATGCTTCCAAGAACTTATTATTATGTAAACATCCATCAGAGAGATAATTTTCAAGCAGTTTAAAATATCATTCACTACTGTGGAATAGTCGTATCAACACTCATATCTCATACTTTCAGGAGTCAAACTTCAAAATTTAAGGATTTGTAGTAACTCGCTACCATCGAGGTAACAGGTCGAAATGCAGCTGATGCTTGCGTCAAATTCCAGTCAGCCTGAGATACAATGAGACTTTTTTATTACGTGTCCTTAAGTAACTTATCACACTGGCTTAAGAAGAAAGACTTTCTATAGCTTCATGCATCACTGTTTTGTTTCATACATCCAAATGTGCCTCATCACATTCTTACACGTATTTTTGTCTGTCGTAATCATTTTGTCGACAAAAACTAAGATAACATATCACCATTCTTCTTAAGCATATGCCTTCCTGAATTAGGAGTGAAATGAAAATTCGCATGAGTTAGACTGTTAATTCATAAGTTGAAGTGTGCCTCATAGGCCTCAGGTACATAAAGCTTATAATTCAAAGGTATGAAAAGCTCAATCATATAGACATTCAGTTATGAACAGTTCAGTCTAAGAATACAACTTTAATCATGTACTAGTGGGAATTTAAAATAACTTGTTATTTACTTAAATTATAAATTATTTACTTTAATTGCATTTTGATGTTGTTTCTTTCTTCTTTGTTTTAACTCATTTTGACGGTTTTGCAAAACTGATTGGATAGGTTGTCCTCTACTGTTTAGATTCTCTTCATTTAATCTTCGTTTCTGATCCTCCAGCAGTCGACGCATTGCAGCCTCAGCTGCTAAATGTCTCCTCCTATGACGTCTCCAAAAGTTTTGTATGGTAGTTGCTGCTGAATTTCGTCGGTTTTGGTTGTTTACCTTCCAGATGTTTGGTCAGCTACAGAATTAGTTGGGAAAGACATTAGACTGAAATATTACATAATTCGAAGTGTCCCCTAAATTTTGAATACTTCAACTATAAGGAAAACAATCAAAATTCATAATTTCTGTACTGTCTGAGCCCGCAATTCTGAGCTTGTCAATACTAGATGATAATCACCTTCCGTGGAGATTGAGTTCCAATGAATTGAAGAGGACAAAGGATCACTTTAACTTTAGCCTTTCTTCAATGATTTCATCTGTGGGAACACAATGCGCTAAATATACTTACAGTTTCTATTAACATTATTCGACCCATCAGTGTTTAACGACAGTTACCTCATGATAACAAACACTTAATTTGCGCTATTTAGAGACTTGAATACTTTGATAACCAGTAAAATACCTTTATACAGTTTTGCAAGAAGAAAGTTTTTCACCAGTTAATCACTATTTACTTCGACCATGTAATCTTTCAGTTTCCTTTGCTTGTAAACGTATAAAGTACGGGCGAAGTATTCATGGAATTTACATTCATATGGTGAACAATGAAAAACATCTTATTTGAAACACGTAAATGTATTTGGTAGCCTTCACGATAACTTACAACAAAAGTGAGACAATAATTCACCAATTACTTATAATATTATGGTGTTAAAATGTTATCATTTTAAGGCTTCTTATGTTCAGAGGTGAAATCCGATAGGGAAAATTTTAAACCTACTTTCATCTTGAGGACTACTTATCTGACGTGATGTGTTGATTGAATTCGAAGATGGCCTAACTAAGCATGGAGGTGGAGTATCTGTCTTTTCATTGATGTCAATGCAGTATATATCACTGTCTTCGTCCGTAATTTTCTTCAAATCCATTGCTACATTGGAAAAATCTGCACCCATTTCCAAGTCTAAACTGTCATCTGTTATGTTATCATTTCGTTCAGCTTTGAGATCTGCATTTCTGGTTTCTGAACGTGTTACGCAGTCAGCCTAGTTAAATAAGAAATAAACATGTAGAAAAATAACGATCAGATTCAGGCGTACATGGTAGATTTTTGTGAAAAGTATTCACTTTTCAACCTTTGAAGTATTTCTTCCGGAAATATAATCTTTAACCGTAGTATATATTGATGAAAAGTATTTCTACAAAGTGTGATAAACAGTAATTTCAAACAACACTATTGCTTGTTTTCCAGGTTAGTTTTGTGGGGATGAATTGAAATTCTAATATTTTTAACACTAGACACTACACTGGTCAGACTAGTTAGACATTTTCAGTTGTCAGTTCGCAGTTAATAGCGAATCTAAAGATCCACGTAAGTACTTTACGACTAAATTTTCAGAAAATGTTGAAACAAACTTAAGTTTCTCGCCGACTTTTTTCTTGCTAATTGTGTTTTGTAGACCTAAGATTATAGGTGAAATAAGAATCTGGTCAGGAATCGGACCTCGTAGCTCAGTTGGTAGAGTATGGAGCCAGGAACAGGATGGTCACTGGTTCAAACCCGGTAGCGGTCCAAATTCTCATTTCATCTTCAATCATTTCCCAGTATAGATTATAGTTGTGTTCAGTCTAATCTGTATCAAGTGTTCATGTTTGAAAACCTTTGGGCTCACTGAAGTAAATTAGTGATTTCCAGTTGTATTCATCTGCAAGACCTTTTATTAACATTAAGTCATGATGAGATTGTTTCCTGGCAATATTTTAATATATAAAACAGCTAAAGTCTTCTAGTCTTCATTCCGTAGTGTAGAATGGCATAATTAATCAATAGTAAGCTATTAGAAGTACGTATAAAGGTTATTTGTACTGTCGGTTTCCAGGGAAGACGAATGAAATAATCAGTAACAGACTAATATTGGAAAAAAACAGATCATCTATTAAGCACATCATAGCAACCACAAAAACAAAAATTGTAACCATTTTATTTGATAAACAATGAGCATTTCGTCTCCTGGTAGCCAATTCATTTCTTTGTCAGAAAACAGATCTTATTGTAACAGAGATCAAGTGTTGCATTCAAAAACCATAGTTTTCAAAAAAATGACCAGTTATTTACTTAGAAGTGCACACGGTAAGTGTACTGAACAAAATAGGGGTGGTGATAACACCACCTAGTGCCTCATTTATTCAACCTGATTAGGATCAAAATACCGTAGAATCAAGCGTATTGTTGATAAGTTTATGTGATGACGATCTGCATGACAGATGATTTGAACTACTTTCTTTCACATTACGTTCACAAATAAAAAGGAATTTAACTGTTGTTGTACTCCTTCAAAAAGCAAGTTTCAACTTAATTCAATCATAAGAGGGTAGTCCTTCATCCCTCAAATTTAATCTTAACAGCTGACAAATAGGAAATTGTGAACGTGGACAAAAAACTTTTAAAGTGGCCATTTGAAAAAACCGGTAGATACACATTACTTGGCAATCAGATCTTAAGATTTAATGTCCACAAAAATATTTCGAAAAAGATACGCTTCTCCAGAATTGTTCTCCTTTCCTATTAAGATTGTCTGATTTGAGCTTTAATACATCTGCTTGTGAAGATTTGTTGTGAGTGCATGAAAACTATTAATGTATCTTTCAAAAGTTTCCTTTTGAGCAAGATATCCTAAGATACATTTGTCAACTACCATAATGCTTATATCCCTTCTGAATAAACTACAGGAACAAAAGACTCTAGATCAAATTGGCCATTTGTGCTACGTTGGTTTGTGAGGATGAGTACATTTTTGCGGTATGTAGCCTTCTTCCCTCATTTACAGGCGAAAATCGATGAAGTTGCTCCAAGACCTAACAAATCTCTATGTATTTCAGCTGTGAAAAAATTTAAAACTTTTCAATAAGCAAGAGTGACACAAACCGATATATACAAGCTCCAACAGTGAATCAAACAATGGATAAATAAACTTGCACTTTATTAATCGAAAAAGTCACCACCATCCGTAAAGTGACCAAAGGGTGAAGAAAACTTTAGTCAAATAGTTCTTCTAAAAATATAGTAAAACCTGCTTAATGTGAAAGCATTTCTTCCTACTTACCTTTATTTTACCCCATTTTAAATTACTATTGTTTTGGCAAAGGAAATGTGTTTCAAGCCAATCCGAAACACTGCTATCATTCTGGTTACTGGAAAATGAATTGCCATCGTTTTTCTGAGGTATTATTATCGGGTTTGTTGAATTCGCCTCATTTAAATCAATGTGAATGCCATTGTCATCTTTATTGAACAGGTTGTTGAGGAGCTTCAGCTTCTGTTTAACTGATGGTAATGACGAATTAGACAACACTTCAGGGTCGTATGAAGAAACTTCATGATTCCCATTGTTTTGAGTCACATTTCCAGTTCGATAATTAGCCTGAGAATCAAAAACGCATCTATGTGAAAATGGCTTATCACTTCCATAAGCTTCTGAGATAGTGATCATTATTGAGCAGTGTATCTTTCTAACTGATTTTTGACACGAAGTAATAAGTCTGATATTTAAGAAAATCAACTAGGTTTCCTGAGAAAGTTCGACATTTTGATGAAAATAAAATATTCTGTGAATTCACGAAGTCCACAACTATGACATACAGACCTGAGGTTTAGAACTTGAATAAATGTTCTTACAAGAAAAGCCATAGCAGAATATTAGTTCCATTTAAAGGAGAAAAAAGTTGCTCGCTTGCAGATATATTGGAAAGAATTGTAGACAGAAGCGCTAATGGACATAGTAGTCACTTTAAGCTAACGGAGAAGTTTAGTAAACCATGCCTCAGACCAGTAATCAATGATTTGTAGCAGTCTTTTTAGTTAGTTGGAGAAAATTTCAATAACTGAGTGCATCATTTGATTGCAACCACAAGGTAAAAATAAGGCTGGACAATTAAGATCACATTTAACTAAAAGTGTCAAATTTACATTTAATAAAACCAGAAACTTTTAATTTAAATCTTGCCTTGATTAAAACTCGTCTTCACTTTTAGCCAACAGACTGATGTAAGCAAATATCAGACCTCCGTTTAAAGCCACTTTAGATATTTTGTTTTTACAGTTCTAATCAAATGATTATTGATAAAACTGCTGACAGGTAGGTGAACAGTCACTTATGAGCTATCTCAATAAGAGTCAGGTAAATTCTTATTTGTCTCAGTACTAACATAAGCTCCGTAACTACTAGTTTACTATTTTACTTCTGTTATTATTTCGGGTTTTGACGGATAACGGATAACATCTATAAGGGAGCGTTTATAAAAAAACTTTAAGGGAACCACAAATGAACAAGAAAAGTGATACAAACAGGACGGAACATTTTATTCTTTTAGGCCACTTTTTTGAAAGGTAAAACGCTGAGGATTTCAATGATGGTAAAATAAATGCAGTCGAATGCACTGAAAATAGATCAGGTTAAATGTATTCTTAATGTGTTTATTCGTAAACTCTGTGACATCAGTAAACCATACTAATAATTTTGGTGTTCTACTACTGCATTCAAAGTTGCAGTAGTTGGCTGCATCCCCATCAAGAGTCGTTTGTATGTTTGTAGGCTGGAGGATTCGATTTGAGTGGGAGGTAACGGGCTAGAAAGAAGATGTCCCTTGATATCTCTGCTTATGCCTAGAGTGACTGCAGCTTGGATGTAGTTAAGGCTGAACTCTACCCTCAAGTTAGTGACATCCCTCAGACACGCTGGACAAAAATAGTGGTACTAACTAGCAATTTCGGTGGACATATCAGGCATTTAGACCTAAGCGAAAGTCGTTTAGTTGATCAATGGATATTAGTCAGATAAGGTGGCGGGGAACGTCTTGTACAGATTCGTGCAAATCACAGCCTGTTTTTAGCTGGTGCCAACTTCCCACACGTCTACAACCGTCGAGCTGTATGGTCCCATCTCTCTGACACTCAATCCTGGACTCAAACAGATCATATTACAATCGATTACCAATTGCACCAATGTATTCTGGACTGCCATTCTTTCTGGAGCACCCGTATACACTATAATCATGTTTCAGTGTGTGCCACGTTCATACTGCCTTTTGGTAGTCAGCAAATTAACATTAAAAATGCAATGAAGTCATGAAACTGGACTGCAATGAAATACTAGACTTAACAAAATTCTAGGCTAGCCATGAAATCTCCAGAAAGTATGGATGCGCATTGGCCGCAACTATAAGACGCTATGAAGAATGAAAGTAAAGCTGTTTGCAACTCTAATGAACTTCTCACTGATAAATACTGGATCTCTGTGAAGTCTTAACAACTTCTAGACTCTGACCTGTGTATTCTAGCAGGTGGTGGGTGTAATGATGTTCATAAGTCCACTATGTGACAAACCAACCACCACTTGAATAAACGCCGCATAGCCTGGTAGTTAGAACTTACTAATGAGATGGAAATAGCAGTAGCATTTCGAAGTAGTCGCAGAGTGTTTCAGCTCATCCGAACCACTGGCTTCAAGAAGCCTGATTCCAGCAACGTCATTGGAGTATATCGATCTATAACCTTCTCAGACTCCTATAACATTGAGCTGAACACTTAGGAAAGCAGTTCAGCTGGCATACTGCTGCTTAAGTGCCGACCTCAGTATCTTGTGCCTCACGGCCAATTAACATCGATCCAATTAACGAAGTGCAGGCGTACCACCCAGCAAACCTATTCCTAATATTTTAAATGATGTATGTGGAGCTGTTGCCAGGGGCTGACTACAATTCTTAGAAAGGTATGAAAAATTGAGTGTTCCATCACCCTGGAATGGAGCCATAGTTGTATCTACTTTTGAGAAGTGCTTGCTCATTGTGTGTATAAATATTAGCTTATCAGTTGGTTGCTAGTAGCAAATAAAGTATTCGCTGCTGTCATACTTTTCAGTCTATGTAAAACAAAGCAGAAATTTGCTCCACGACAAGCAAGCGAATTTCCTTAAGGTCATGGATATATTACCCCGTATTTACCTTACATAAATTTCTTGAACACCTTCACACGTATTTCAAGCAAAAGACAGTTGAGTTTATCGAAACTACGGCTGCTTTCGATTCGTCAGACAGGGCTGTTTTCTGCGATCGTCTACTACAGAGAAGAGTCCTTGAGAAGTTTTGTAACATTTTGGAAAACCCTACATGTCAACACCTAAGTTCGAATGAAGGCAAACAGTCATGTATCTCCATTGTTCCAAACCAACTAAAGGGTAAAGCTTAGCTTCGTAATCCCTCTATTCCTCACGATCATCGCCATCTATGACATTTTCAATACATCCCTGAGGTAGGTATGTCGTGGCAGTTTAGACCTGAAACCGACTGAAAGAATTTTCAACCTGCAGTATACGGAAGTTATCGCGGAAGATGTCAACAAGTTAACGATCAATGTGCGTGATGTAGGGTTTGTTTCCCGCCCCCAAAGTGTAGAGTGCTTCTATAAAGCTGACAACAGCCTATACCTGCACTCATCCTTGGTGATTAATATTTGAAGGTTTCCTGAATGTTAGTGTAACCGAGTGTTTGTGCGAGCGCTAGTGTGGGTGTGACTAACGAGATTTCTAACTGTACACCCCAAGGCGCAGCGCCATACGCCACCTCTGATTTTGTAATGACGGGAACCTTGCTGTAAAAGGTTGAGTTTACGACGCATCAGTGAAGGCAGTTTTGTTCTGTGTCTATGAAACCTGGCCTCTACAAGTTAAGGATGTCCGATGACTCTACTTTTGACCACCATTATCGCTGCAGGATTAGTTGCATCCAGTAGAGATACAGTTTGAGTTGTTCTTGTGCGCATATGTTTAGGTGTGACAGACATCCTCATTCACTATAAGTGGTCAACTCGAAACAACAATTTCGTTAGCTTGAAGGTGTGTTACGTATTTCTTCTGGCTGTCTTCCAAACTTCTCACTGTTCATTTGGCCTAAAACTGGTCGGAAGAAGCGGAGGGAGCCATTATATAAAGCTGCACCATAAGATGAAGGATGTTTTAGTTGGGTTAAAACTGTAGGTGGCTCTCAAGTCCCTGGACTGGGTACAAAGTATTATCCAGCTCAGTGGTGTGAGGCAAATATGGCTTTTAATCTAAAGCAAAGCAGTCATTACTTGAAACAAAAAAGTAGTGGATTTTTTTATGGGTGTATCCATCTTTTTCAGCCCTTCTTTATTTCACTGTGTCTTCTTACTGTTGATTAACCATTTTAAATGACACATCTGGTATCCAGTGGATCTATACAAATAAATGAATAATAATAGATGAAGAGTAAGTGTGCAGAAAAGTTGCATTTTCAGCAGCCAAATCGGAAAGAATTCTGAGATAATTGGCAACACTGTTATCAGCTTTATTCGAATAGTCTGACAATGCTGATAACCAGTTTTACATATTTTCGGTCTTGAAGCAGAATCAATCAATTCATCTCTGAAATGTCTAGATTACCGGATTTAATAATTTTTGCTGAAAATGCTTGAAGTGAATACATTGGGCTTACCGATCAGTCGTCAAAACGTAATTAGTCAAGTTCTGAGGAATTCATTTTTGTTCAAACAATGAGGCAAGACTTTAAATGCTAGTGTGTTGAACTTAAGTGGTACTGATGAAAACCCAGACCTTTTTTACATTTAGCAGTATATAGATACTCAGGAGTCAATGAAAAGCAACAACACCAGCATAAGTACTTGAAAGTTAGGTGTCGTTTTCTTGAAACTGTTTCCAAATGTGAAAAAATAAACACTGCACAGGCAAAATGAATGTGGGTTCCAGAAATATATAAAATTCAACACAGTGGATACAGTTAGCTCAACATAAGTCTAGTTATTTGTACTCCTGAAACACTCCTAAGCATTTCTATTTAATTTGATTTTAAGCAGTCACAAGACCTTTGATCGATTTTAGACATGAAAATTACTTTAAGTGTTCAAAAGTTACGGGAAGCTCAGTGTTATTGTGCAGTAAAATACTGACTGAAGTTAATTCCAGTTGCTAATTATGACCATAACTAGTCTAGACTAGACCAGTTTATATAACTGAGACCAGCGGAGAGACTTAATTAACTGGGGTGATATCTTGGTCAGGCAACCTTTTTCTTTTCCCTACCCAATCCTTCTTCGACTAACACTGTGCATACGAGCAAGTAGTGACTCAGTAAGTTCAGCAGATGTCCTATCCTTCCCAGTGAATGTTCATAACATCATCGATTAGGACAGTATATTTTTTCGCTACTCTCTTCGCAGTCAAGCAATTCCACAACACCTCTTAATCCGTGAAGCAGACTATTGCCTTCAAGTCGAGATCAACACCAAATGCTGACACCTGTATGTGTGACTGGGTTTGAGGACGTGTTAATAGGCCAAGGATTTTTTAAATTTCTCTTTTTACCATAAGTATTTTGTTCTCGGGTTCAGACTGGCGTCAGACAGCAGTGAACTGTAGGATGTTAGACACAATATCGACTAAACTGAATCATATGAAGGATTCTCTTGCTTTTATCGCGAATTTCTTAATGATGTGGACTAACATGACTGTTTTCGTTTTAACTTCTATATAATAGCTTGTATGTTAGTTACATTAGTCGCTAACTTTCTATTTCTATTCTCAATAACACTTCTGGTGAAGGACAGTCATTTTCTACCGTTTTGCATTATTTTAGATTTGAAACAGCTATCTTAACTTTGATAAAAGTGGGGGAATTGACCCTACGATCATTCGGTTTCTAGATGAATTTTAAGGAGCTGAAACATCACTAAATTTCGGTAAAAGTATTCCTTAACGTTATCCTCCCAGGATTTTAGCTCTTAAAAGTTATTGGTCAAACATGGTTTTCACTGACAGTCCTATTGACTGTCGCCTTGTTTGTACCAGTTTCTCTGGTGACAGGTATTGCTTGATGATAATGCTTTCTCCGTCTGTTTCACTTCCATCACCCTGCATTCATGTTCATTGTTAGGACTGAATAAACTTGTGTTAAAGCTGCTTTTAATGTTCCTCTTGGTGAGAGCTAAATGACATTAATTTTATTGCATCAATTATTTTAGATTAGTCTGCAGAAATCAGGTGATTGTCTGTCAGCTGCAGGTTTAAGACACCACTCGCCTTCAATGCTGTTTTTGTAGCAGACTGAATATTACGTCATGCTTTATCAGAATGAAAGCCTCTATAATGTTGCGAATAATGTTCGGCTATCTTCTCTAATATACACGTGGCATTTTGAAGTGACAAAACATTGTTCGCTTAACAGTAAATGAGTCTTTCTACCACCATCTAAGTCCGAAATACTTTGCAGGAGTCAGTATGTTTTCACTCTAAAATCTTGTATCTTACACAGTTATTTTTATCAGATAAGCATAGTCCTAATACAAACAAATAAACCAGTTACAAAATATTTTGTAACTCTGTCGCAATAATTTGCGCTCACTTCAGCTTTCGAAATCAAACTGTTAGACAAAGCAGATAACAAAAAAGATTAAAAGCTAGTTTCACACTACAGAAGCATTCAAAGGCTAAGAAAGGGTCGTTAGTGAATGGAACTCGTTTCAGAAACAAGTAGTAGCATCTACCTTATTGATCGCATGCAGGGGGAAAACGAAACTTTGTATAGATGATTATCACAAGTATTGACATGAGCTAATAGGCTATCATCATAATATGTTAGACATAAGTAACGTAGACAAATCTTAATCTAATTGGCCATGTGAAAGCAACGAAATTATGTGGAAAATTCAAGTAAAGAGCTATACGCCGAAAACAGGTGAGACTGATGTTTTGTTCTAATGGAAAATAGTATCAAATTATCACCAGTTAGTACACGTCATTGCTTGGGTTTACTTCATATATAGCAAACATATCACAATAATTACATTGTATGTCCTTGCAGACGATCGGCCGCTGTTACTATTGGACTTGTTAAGGCTGATTTGTGATCCTTTCAAAGTCAAATTCATCTTGTTTACATGTTACTAGGCTATTCAAAATGATGATTAAAAATAACCTTGAAACGTAGTATTCAACTCACAGTGTCAATAATCCAAGCAGCAGTAGCTCTCGCTTCTAGAGTCTGAAGATTGGTTCATTTTGGACTGTTATTCCTCCTCTTTGATCACAAAAGTGACAATGTTGGCCTCTGTTACTATTGTCCTACAGTTAGTACAAGTATCTAACGTATTGGGGAAGTCTAGCCCCAGATCCATCTCCGTGAATGTCTTGGTGGCTGCTTTCAGTAGCTTCAGGTGTGCGAAGATACATCACTCTTCACCTGTTCGGGTTAAAGCTCAAACCACTCTAAGTTGACAAGAACTTCTACCGCAGTAGATCATCTTGGAGCGTCCTACAATCCACTTCCATGCCTGCTGTTCATATTCTGGAGTAGCCAGGAAGTAGGAGAATAGGCGGTGAGATTTAATCGCGAAGGTCATCTTAAAGTAATTAAAGTAGCAGTGGTTCAAGGATCGCTTCTTGAGTAACCCTCGTTTTTGCACTCCCCCAGTCTGACCGATTTCCGCTCACAGTGCGCAATTCACCCTCCTGTAGATGTGGCGAAAAATATACTGAGTGGTTCAGCGATACCCACATTTACAAGCTTGGGGGCAGGGTTTGGTGCGGGGCGCTGCCGAAGCCTTTGGCTAAGTTCAGAATGATAACGTGGTTTAATGTTTGTTGTCCCATCCGTTGATCCGGTCATCCAAAGTGGTCATAAATTTTGTAGCACGTTACATCCGGTTCTGAAGCCAGGTTCCGTGGGATTATCGATGTTGTTTCCGTTCAGGCAGTCCAAAACATCATCTGCAATAACGCTATGGAGTACATTAAAAAGTACGGGAAGTAAAGTCATGCGTATGCAACTGCACTAGTTTCCCTGGTCTCATTGTTTGGAGATTGGGGAGAGGATAACACGCTTCTGTTATTTAGGGAGTTGAATATCTTCCAACTAGTGCGCAAACAAATTGCAATGAGAACGTCTATCGATTCGGCACAATTCCATAGAATGGTTGATCTTATGTCTTTATAATGCGGAGATTTCTCTATTTTGAGCGTTGAGAGCGCTGAAAACACTTGGTTTGACGAAGTGTTTATGTTCATCGGCTTTGTATCACAATTCTACAACTTCGTCACGTAACCAAAAGTTGGCAATGGACGCATCACTGCTCGTCAAGTTGGTTGTCCAACAGTTCCGTCATCTCAATGATATTCAAGGCTTCTCCGTCCTGTCCTTTGACGAGGCTTCAACCTTTTCCCAACGGTTTTCGTTGTGACATAAGCTGATGTGCACCTTTGGGTTTGGAGCTTTGTTGTTTATCCGGGTTACCTAGGTTTTTATGAACACATGTTACATGAGTTGCGTAACTTTCGCTGCCCAGGACGTCCTGTTCTTTTTGAGGTGAGGCCACGTATATCACGCCTTCTTTCTCTTATGCGTGTGCTTTAGAGATGCTCGATTAACTTGACAGTCTTTGAAAGGCGGTCGTCTGCATGTTTTTGGGACGCTCTTTCTGCAGCGTTCCAGATATTTTAACATGTATCCGGTGTTTGACTATCGATAGAGATCCCCATTCTTGTTACCACGGTGCCTCCAGGAGTTTATTACCCATAAGCTAAACGTCTGCCTTCCAAAAAATAGCGGAACGCTTCTGCTTCAACTGGCGACAATTTCTCCCTGGTCATCAAGGAAAATCCCATCAATGCGTGGTCTCTCTTGCTTAGGGGGTTGGGCACATTGCCACCGAAAGTCATCATCTACTAAATTGTGGTCAGGTCGTGATCCTTTTCACCCTGTCCACATTGGGTGGCTTTTCCAACTTTATCTGTCATATCTGCCACTATAAATGAATTTCGAAGTCTCTGTTCGAAATTTAATGTCTCCAGCTTGCTTCCAGTCCTTGTTTGAGCGCTGTTGCTTTGAGGCTTCCTACAAGGATTGAGCTGCCGAAAGCTGCTGGGGTAGATGCGGAGGTCGCGGTGGTCATCTGCTTCTTTGATCTGTTGTGCGTAGCGGAGACTTGTATACCGATCCGGGTAGATGCTTTGCTTGGTTTATGGTGAAATGGAATCATGAGGAGCCTGGCAATTGGTCAAATATATTGTCACTCACCTCCTTGGATGTTAGATACTAATGCATGTTGTCGCTCCTCCCGATCCAATGAACCACCTGTCTATTTTGGATAAGGTCATGTTATGTGCGAACATTTCTTGGTTCATGATGTTCGTGGAAACCCATCCCTAGCAACAAAACTTATGTCCGCATGCAGCTGATAGCACACTGATCTCAGCTCCAATAGGTTTTAACTAAGACCTCGCACACTACTTTAGAAGTACGTCGAGAAGGTACTTTTCGAGCTTAGTGTGGTTCGGTGAATTGTGTAACGGTTACTGTGCTGCTGCATCAGATGTTGGTTGCCAGACCCCACTTGACGGGCAAGTCTCCGTTTTTCGGTTTTCCTGGCACCTGGTGCCGGCGTAACAGAAAGGTTTACCGCCCTGTCCACAGGGTTTAGTTCACCAACACCCCAACATCTAAAATCCGATACAAAAGATATATACAAACAATGCTATGTTATCTTCCTTCTTTGATTATCTTTCTTACTATTAAATTCTTTTGTCATATTTGTTCCTCCCCCACTTTCATTTTTCAAGTGTGACCATAGGAAATTGTTACTTTAGAACTGCTAAATGTGGCGCTTTGCGCTTGGTTCTTGTTGCTTGGCTCTCTTCATTTGGTTGGAGAGATCTCCGCTGCCTACAGGCTCACAGCTGTGGTGATGAGTTTTTCATGTGGTTCAGTGTTCGCAACTTTTAGGTTGAGTTGGTACGGAAGCTAGGAGTTACCTGACGCAGTCGGAGTTTTTCTTGACTATGTCTCCCTAAGTCCCTGAAAGGGAATAGTGAGATAGTGGGAAAGGTTGACTGGACTTTTCCGAGGGATGATGGAGGTTGGTGCGGAACTAGCTACCAGAGAACAGCCAGAAGACGATGCTGGTGTGCCGAGGCAAAGAGATCGTACGTAGTCAATAAAAAGAAAGTAGTGGTGAGCTGGTGAGGTCAGCGGTGTCTCCTGTGTGTCGCTTATAAACGACTGAACTGACATGATTATTTAACCATTCATTGAATGAGTTTGCTAAGAGGGAAGTCCCAAAGTAGCTCAACGAGACATTCCATATGGCGAAAACTTCCACCTACAACTTTTGACCTGGGCCCGGCATTGACTTTTTGATGTAATGTTGTGAGAGAATTCGCAAGTGGTGACTGGTATGTCGCAAGCAAGTTCCGTTTGCTCGTATGGCCTGTCCGACTGAAGATCTTGTATGGCATAATAAGGTTATTCCTCTTCGTGGAATAACCTGCTATAGATCGGTTCAGGTGCCTCAGTCTCTTAGGATACGTTTCACGACTGGATTTGTTGTATATCTCTATCACAATGAGGACCTCCGGATGCAGCTACGCATAAGATTTAGAAGGCGTTAAACACATTTCAGTGTTGAGGACACCCAGCTGTCTACACAACATGCCTGATGTGGCAGTCGCCCTGGCTTACTGCTTCGTCACTGTCGGAGTTTGTGTTCAGGACGTTAAGCCCTACATCCTTTGCTGTGGGCGCCTAGGTGATGGCATGCTTGGCTAACAAATGTCTTCCTTCGGCCCTCTTGTTTCGTCGGCTTGGATGTGCACTACTTTGCACTGTTCCCCGCGAAAAGTCAGTTTGCTCCCTGGAAAACTGAATTCCAGTTGCTCCATGCCGTTTCGTAGTACTCGACAGTTGGCTTCGTCACTTGCCACCAGCCAAATTTTGCCGCCGTCGGCAAAATCAAGGGTGAGCGAGGAGATTTTGTGTCGGAAGTGGTTTGAAGACCATTTCGAACATTTTTCTGTCAGGGAACCTACAGAGCTCGTCTCCTTCCACGCCTTCCGATGTTTTTGAAAGTGTGGATAGTAGGGCGTTCGGTCCGTAGCTGACAGGGCTTTTTCTGTTTAATCACTCAAAAGTGGGTTACAAGATGGTTGACATCCACTCTGTAGGGAGTCGGGATGACTCTGGTGAGTTCTTGAAGAGGCCACAGACTCTTTTAATGAGTACCTTAGAGTATTTCCTTAGGAACGAGATTCTTAGGTCTTCTCAGCCATGAGACATAACTGGGCAGGGTCTGGATGGCTGTCGTGGCACTTTCCTTTGTGTAATGAGAATGTGACAAGGAGATTCACTTCCATTAGTCTGATCGGCGTCGTTTTGTGCAGGTGCGGATTTGGTGTCAAAAGTACTAGGTTGGGCTGCGAAGCATGGTCTCAGAGACTCAGCCATTTCTGAGCTGCTCAGTACTTCTTCACTGTGTCCCGTTATGAGGCCGACCGTATTCTATCCGGCTTCCTTCTCGGCATAGAGTAGTGTAGCTTTCTGGACAGGTTTGTGTCCTTCTCTTTAGATTTGACTGACGGCTAAAGCTATCGGTTGCTGGCTCTTACGCCGCACTGAGCGTGAATCCTCTTGTAGGTTTCGAAATTTGACTCCCTGCACAATGATCACCAGTCGAATCAAACCTGCTCCCGGCGTGAAGCAGCCCTTCTGTTCCACAGTCCGAATATGAGTTTCTCACTGACATTCGGTGTGTTACCCCTGACGCATTGTGACTAGTTGCTCTGAGGATTATTTCCTTCATCTATTCAATGTTCGTCTGTTGCTAGATGGTTCCAGCTTTGAGGCCATCATGAAATAATGAAGTGGCCCATCACGGTGTTGCAAAGAAAGGTGCTCAGTGTGTCCGGTTTCAGAATCTCACTGGTCATCAAGAAGAATGTCGTAACTACACGTTTGCTGCCTCCAGGAGGCGGGTGAGCACATGGTGTCAGTGGGATCATTATTCTTCAGAAGGTGGTCTGGGCGTGACGAATTACTGCCAATCTCTCAATGTGCGGAACTACTCACTTTTTCCAGCAGACTACCTACCTTAAGTGCACT